TGAGACTTACGTTTCGCAAAGTACAAGTGGGTACATAGTATCCCTATTTATGCCGAGGTTACACACACACACACAGTTATCAACCCTTGGATGCACATAGAGTTATCAACCCTTGGATGAACACAGTTATCAACCCTTGGATGCACATAGTTATCAACCCTTGGATGAACACAGTTATCAACCCTTGGACAGAGTTATCAACCCTTGGATGCACATAGAGTTATCAACCCTTGGATGAACACAGTTATCAACCCTTGGATGAACACAGTTATCAACCCTTGAATGCACACAGAGTTATCAACCCTTGGACACAGTTATCAACCCTTGGACACAGTTATCAACCCTTGGACACAGTTATCAACCTTTAGACACAGTTATCAACCCTTGGACACAGTTATCAACCCTTGGACAAAGTTATCAACCCTTAGATGCACACGGGGCTGGGTGAGTGCTCACGAGCCACTGCCGATCCTGGACACAATGCACGAGCGCCATGTTGTTGTGTTCCACCAATTAGCCGTCGCCGCACATCCCACCGTACGCCGTGATCTAAAGATCTGCCCCGGGGGTTAAAGTTCATGAGGACTGTGACGTGTTTATGGCACCCAGGGGAAATAACTAGACGATATCTTTGTATTATTGAACGGCCGTCCGGCATGTTTAAAAAGTTGGTACCGAGGCTAGGAGGGCGAGTGATTTAGAGTGCTTGACACACCATCTGCTTTTCTGGAACCGGAAGTGATTTAGCTACAAATGATATTCAAACGGTCGATACAAATTTTAATACACATAAAATGCCGGTTCTTTTTGGGAAAATTTTTTTATAGCTCCGCAAACAGACATTTAAAAAGGAAACTTAATTTATTGTTCTTTAAGTGTTAATTTTGTTTTTTAAACAATGCTGGAGAGACAATGCAGCAACTATTTCATGAACTAAACGAGTCGTAGAAATAGTAAATCCAGATCTCGCCAAAATCTCGCGATATTTGAGTTAAACGACGCAGCAATCAGTGTTAAAGTATAGCGCCATTCTCGTTACACGGATACAAACCAAAAACCTATCAATTCATATACTGACTATATACTTTCTATATACTGACTATACTCAGTGGTGTCACCGGGTAGGTTGTCATCTGGTGGTGAAGCTGAAGGTGTCACCCCCCCCTCCCCAGTTCAGACAATGTTGAATTTGTGAATTTGGTGTCATCTTCACTCCTAAGTTTTTGTTACAGTTGAAGTTGTAACGAGATGTTGTGCGGAAAAAGTAGTGATGATATTTAGTTGTGTGTATGGGTGGGGGGGGGGGGGGGGAGGGGGAGGTGTCATGTGTGTGTGTCTGTGTTTGTTTGTGTGTGTGTGTGTACGCAGAGGCGTAGCGAGGGGGGGGTGCGGACCGCACCGGGTTACACCATTTAGGGGGGTGACACCAAAGCAAAAAAATAGCAAAATATATAGAGAAAAATTTGAGGGGGGGGGGGTGCAAATCGAAAGTTTGAGAGGGGGGGTGCAAATCGAAAGTTTGAGGGAAGTGCAAATCGAAAATATGTCCACGGGAAGGGTCGCTACGCCGCTGGGGGGGGGGTGACACCATTAAGTGCCGCACCGTGTGACACCCGACCTCGCTACGCCACTGTGTGTACGTGTTGATTTAGGGCGTAAAGTGATTGAAAGATCCCTAAAACTTATAAAAAGTTTCCTCGACTTCAAACCCCCTACCCCCCATCTCCCATATAATCTGATCTTGTGTTCCCATACCAAAAATATATTTTGACGACCCTTGTTATATATACATTGGCGTGGACCTCCTTCAATCCCACTATTCCATAAAGCCATACAAAAATATCCATTGTTTACTAGGCCTTTTTACACGTTTAGACAACATCTCAAAGTTTTTATAGGCAACATCAGTGGCGTAGGCAGAAGGGGGGTTAGGGGGGGGGTCATAATCCCCCCCCCCCATAGACCGCTCGGTATATATAAAAAGTATGAGGGGGGGTGCAAATCGAAAGTTTGAGGGGGGTGGGTGCAAATCGAAAGTTTGAGGGGGGGGGGGTGCAAATCGAAAGTTTGTCCCCGGGTAAAAATTGGAACCCCCCCCCCCCCCCTTGAGACGATCCTGGCTACGCCACTGGGCAACATGACCTTGTTTTAAAAATTCTGTTTACACGAAACTAATTCCATCATCAGATTGATCCACGTCGATTAAGATGACGTCATTTGGCTAACGTCACTTCCTTAGCCGACTTAAATACACCTAAAATGTTCCCGAGTATACCATTTCCTGTGACGGAGCCGCCGCCATCTTTAAAAACCTCCCAAACAAACGCTGGTGCTGACATCATAGTGTCTGATACAAGGGGGAGATAACTCTAAAAGATCCGGCATTGTCTTCCCCTTGTTAGTCCGACCCTGGTTACCGGCACGTTTCGTCTGAGGAGCAGGGGTAGGGGTGGGAGGGGGGGGGGCATACTTTCTGTTTCTCTGTCGCAACCAATTAAACGAACACATCTACGCCATGTTTTTGTCTAACACGCCATCCTACACACGAGCAAAAGCACACGTCCGTTTCATACATACCCTAGCACGCGTGGTTCCCATCCAAGTTTTTTGTATTTAAAAGTTCTTGTCTTTGAAATAGTTACCTCGCTTGAATCCATTCACTATTTGCTATTCTTATGTTTTATTTGTAGCACGACAATCGCTTTTGTTTCTGTTAAACCGTGTTTACACTTACGACATGTATACTATACATGTCCAGAATAAAAAAAAAATGTTTATATTATCGGAACATGTAGTTCTATATTTATTTGCTGTGATAATTTTTATTTTATTTTTATTGAGACTCTGATACGTGTATATTATACATGTCTTAAGGGTAAAGGCGTGTTAGTGTTTAAGGAAGTGTTAAGAGTAGTGTTAGTCATTTTAATAGTTTTAAGATTAGATTTTTGACTTGGAATTAGGTTAGATGAAAAGAATGTTCGGATTATATTTAGGATTAAGTTTAGTTTATATTTCCAGATTCGTTGACTCTAGAACCTGTTAGCTCGGTACGTGGGTCAGTCTCACTTTCACAAACTATTACTTTCCCCGACTCGTGCCAGGTACCCATTAGCGCTGGGTAAACTCGGGGACATCCTACGAACACGCGCAAGGAACTCATATCTGCTGAGTGAACTCAGGGACGTCCTCATGACTTTCGTGTTTTTTTATGTGCATGTTTTACCAAGCCTCATCCATGTATAGAACAAATCAAACATTCCAAACGCAGGTTTAAAAGATTTTTTATTTTATTTCTGAGGCGGCCGCAGAAAAGGTACATCGGAATGAGAACAAGCGTTTGAAAGCTATAAATAACTTGTTGGTTGTAATGCTTGATTTTTTTTATATTATTGAATTTTCGAATTGCATATACTTATAAAAGTAATTAGCTAATAATATTCCCTATATGCCATACAACAATTTGTCGTTTGATTTTATTTTAAATGAGATCAACCCCTCCCGCGCTCCTTTGAATCCCTGGCGAACTTAAATGGCTGAAACGAAGACGAAACTTCTTATAATTATTCAACCTTTAAAGGATAATTTTAGTCACAAACTCGCTTCTTTTTACATGTTAAGGTGGTTAGAATTGAAATAGAGCTTAATGTTCTTAATTAACACAAATAATGTATTAAATAACTCCCCACCCCACCATGGGTTATCTGTTTATGTCCTAAGCTACCTCGGGAATCAGCTTAAAACAAATTAAATCACTAAAAATATATGTTCAATTAAAGAAGTAATAATAAGTCTTACTTTAATAATAATATCTTTTTTTAAATAAAAAAATTCTAAAATTATTAAGTTAGCCTAAATTAAATGAATGAAATAATAATTTTACATAAACCTTCAAACCTATTCCTTTTCATTTATATCAGAGTGTGAAAAGTTGGTAATGTCGACACCAAAACTACTTGTTTCCATGGTTATTGATGGTGGACACGTCTGTTAGAGTTTTGAGTTATGTTTAAAGGCAGGGTTAGGGTATCGATACCAGTACACAAATGACCTCTATACTGAGTACTATTGAACGGATTGATAGGCCTATATTCTATTATAGTTACGATTGACTCCACGCATTCGTTTATCGAGTATCGCCGGTTATAAAATAACGTAACTGGCAACCCAAACTGTAACTATAACTATAACTGTAGTGCAAACACAGCTCATGTTCTAAGCTTAAACTTTGACCATAACAATACACCTTTCCTGGCATATCACACAGGACTATTTTTTTATTTTGCCATTTTTTTTTTCTTGCCATACAAATATACGGGTACGACATATTTATAATAGGCCTATATGTCAGTATATGTTCAGTAAGCCAATGTCCAAAAAGTACTAATAAAGACCTTGATAGTTTGACACTAAATAAAGCCTGTAGGCCTAGATATTCTTTTTTTTTAAATCAGAGGGTCGTTTTTTTTTTGTTTTTGTTTTTTGGTTAAAAAATTTTGTTTCTTACTTAACAAAAATCATTTTTTTTTTTCTCGATTCGATTAGTTTCGCTCAAAGAACATCGGTGATACACACCCCCACAATTTTTTAATTCTTATTTTCACAAGCGCGCAACACATTTCCTCCACCGATAAATTCAACTCCCCCTCGGCGATTGGCTCGGTCGCTATCTCCTGACAGCCGCGAGGCGGGCCTAGGATAAAATCTGACGGGGCGAGAATCAACCCGCTGCACCGGCTAGACAAAGTGGGCGGGGCTTATCGACGGTGTGTGCCTCGCGCCGCGTGGTTGGTGAACGACACGTCACGCCGCGCGCGCTGCAGACAATTCATGGGCGCGGCGAGTTATCTCCCCACCGGGTTCGGATTGTAAGGATTTGACGTCGACTGCCGTAATGGTAATAATAATTAGAACCGAGGACGCGAAGTTTCTTCCCTTTCAGAAATGTTTTAAAGACGTCAGCCGCCGCGGCGAAGATTTATTCAAGTTGTGTGCTTCAACCGTTCACCATTGGATTCTGCTGTGTAGGACTATCTCACCGTGTGCTTTTGTTGGTTGAAGTGAACTTCGATTAAAAATTCATTCAAAAACAAAATTTAAATACTAAAAAACAAAGAACAATTCTAGTGATGTTTTATTAAATAGAGATTAAATTTAGAATATTATTACAGTGGTTAGACTGTTAAGAAACAATTACCGTAATTTATTCGTGAATGGAGTCTAGTTTATGATCGGCTTTGGAAACAGACAGTGATCGCCGTTATGGTCTTGAATAGCTGACTTGGGCTAATTCTAGGGACAATTTGAAACGGTAATGTGGTTTATGGATGTCAAATTTTAAACTGCGGACCAGTTCATTGTTAACTTAGTTTATTCGAGATTTTGATTTTCTAAAATATTTTTTTAAAGATTAAAGTATTAGGTTAATCTATAATCTGGATTAACGTAGAGTTTTGTAAATAGAGCAGGGATGAGTTCGTATTTCGTGAACTCACTTCCCACATGCTATGGGCCCCCTGCCCTGGACCCCTGTTCCGACCCCATCGGGGGTTACGACAGGAACCCCTACCACCACCACCACCACCAACAGCAGCATCAACAGCATCACAGTCCCGGGGGTATGTACGGCGGCAACAGCTACAGCAACAGCCGGTTTTCCGGCTACCACCACCCGAGGATAACGCCGGACAGCCGGTACGGAGACCCTCACGTGGACTACTACTCAGCACCCCGGCTCACCCACCTCCCACCCAGCTCCCCTAGCCCCCCGCCTATACACCCCCACCTCACCCCCACCCCTGTTTCCTCTTCCTCCCCCTCCTCTTCCCCGCACTCCTTCGACAGAAAACTCCCTCCCCCCGGTGCCAACACAACCTCCGTCACCTCCCTCACCGCACCCCCAACAACTCTCCAGAACCTCTCCTCCAACACCGGCAACAACAACCACCACCACAACAACAACAACAACACCAGCACCGGAAATCTCCACTGCGACCCCGGGTACTACCCATCTTCCGGCATCTCGAACTTTCTGGACGAAAATCACCCGTCCTGTGACTCCCCACCGTTGAGTCAGCGAGAGAAGGCGTCGAAAACCACACACCAGCAGACGCCGGCGTCACCACACTCGCCGTCATCACCACAGTCGAAATCTCTACGTCACCTAGACAAGGGCGGATCCCCCAACTCCCAGTCCGAGGGAGGGGGCAACTTCCCCCCGCCACAGATATATCCATGGATGCGTAGGATGCAGTACAGTGCAGGTAGGATATCCAACAAAATGTATCCACAGTACTATCCATAATTCATTAACACACATCCTTATACATCCATACCCAGCAATATACATCCATACCCAGCAATAGACTGATATACACCCACACCACTTGTATCCACACCAAGTCTCTAAGATTCATACACATTATCCATATCCAGCAATAGACTGACATATAACATATACCCATAGCACTTGTATCCACAACAATTCTCTAACATACATCCATATATATCCAAATCCAGTAATAGACTGACATATGACATGCACCCAGAACACTTATATCCACAACAATTATCTAACATACATCCATATATATCCATATCCAGCAATATACCAACATACATCCACAACACTTGTATCCAGAATGTCAAGATACCAGGATAATCCATTCAAACTAAAACTATTCGCAATTCGGAAGGCTCCAAATCCATCAAAATAACAATTAAAACATAAATACCCACCTAATACAACACTAATTTACTATGACTAAAAATGTCAAAATTCATCCAAATTATTCTTATCCAAAATTTAACCATAGTCTACAACTCCTTTTGTAACTCTTAACACAACACTGATACAATTTTCAACATACAACACTATTAACTATATAGGCCTACTTTTCAACACAGATCTCTAAAAACTATGCATTTTTAACATAAAATTCTTTTTTTTTACTAACAGTACATTTTTAAAGTAATCTATCAACATTGCAGTACAGTTATGAACTCACAGTATAGAACTGGTCATGCATATTTATACACCAAACACACCATAATCTAAAACATGCACACTAAACATTTCTAAGAAACTAACATTTTATAGTACCTGTAAAAAAAAAATCCCCTACTGTTTATTAAACAGCACTAGATCTAGTCTTATAAATTGATTTAGAATTCATATAATCCTTGTGTGTTGTTAGTCCTATATTGTCTTTGTTGTCCTCGATATTAACTACAGAATACAATATTACAATATTACAATAAATTTTATACTTTCGACAATTTTTTAAATAAAAAAAAATAGTTCCTACCTATGGTTTTTTTTGGGATAGGTAAAATGTTAACAGTTACAATTTAAAAACTTAAAATTGAAATCGTTCAAATTTCTATTTTAAAAATTAACCCCTAACTGTACACAATGCGGGTTGCAGTATGTGTATAATGTGTTAGTTCAAGCGTTAATTTTATACACCTGACACTATTCTAACACACGTAGCCTACTTTACCTTAAGACACCGGGTGTGTAGTGTGTAACATTCATCATCCGAGTTAATCATAACCTCCCCGCCATAGCCCATAAACCAAATCTTTATCTAACAGACGGTAATTGAAAAATCAGATCATTTTAATGGGGAAATGTATGAACTAGGAAGGATGTGTATGTGGTGGATGCAGTCTCAATAAACTAACCTATATTTCAGTTTCAAATGTGGTGTAAAAATAGAACATTTTTTGTCATTTATTTCGCCCTAAATTTAGCTACATATCAGTCGCACTTAAAAATAATAAAACTTTTTTTTTAATTCTATGGTATTGATTCTATATTATTAAATTAAAATTAATTAAATTACATTGAAACAAATGAAGTGTATACCTTACATTTGAGGTAAGCCTACATTTGATACGCTCTTAATGTTAACAAAGTGTGTATATAATGTACAGACGCCAACATTTAGCGTTGTACCTTACGACAACATTAGCGACCGGACATATAACTGACCACACTATCTCTTCATATACCGTGGTCTCAGAAACAGGTGCACTCTATTTCCTTTGTCCTTAAGACCATCAGACCCGAAAGGGTAGCTTACATTTTTGTGTTGGATACCTTAGAAAGAAAATACATACGGCAAAGCTAAAACGACAGCAGTAGTAAAGGTGCGGTTAAAACTTAGAGAAGGTTCAAGCACTTTGAGACAACGCTAGCACTCAGCGTAACGATATCACGCTAATACTAACGATGACGCTAATACTTAGTGACGAATAAAGTACTTACAAACAACGCTAGCACTCAGGGCGTACAACCAAAACTAACGAAAACGCTAACACAACGCTAGTAAAGACACAATTAATTATAAGGAGAGACACTTTCAGACACACGCTAGCACTCATAACAACGCTAACACTTCGGACACACTGCCCACAATAAACCAAAACGCTAAAACAACGCTAGCAAAAACAGCTCTAATACTTTAGTATTGATACAGCACTCTCAGATAAATTTAGAACACACAACCCATAATAAACCAAAACGCTAAGATGTCGCTAGCAAAGCAATAGCACTCTCAGATAAATTTAGAACACACAACCCATAATAAACCAAAACGCTAAGATGTCGCTAGCAAAGCAATAGCACTCTCAGATAAATTTAGAACACACAACCCATAATAAACAAAACGCTAAGATGTCGCTAGCAAAGCAATAGCACTCTCAGATAAATTTAGAACACACAACCCATAATAAACCAAAACGCTAAGATGTCGCTAGCAAAGCAATAGCACTCTCAGATAAATTTAGAACACACAACCCATAATAAACCAAAACGCTAAGATGTCGCTAGCAAAGCAATAGCACTCTCAGATAAATTTAGAACACACAACCCATAATAAACCAAAACGCTAAGATGTCGCTAGCAAAGCAATAGCACTCTCAGATAAATTTAGAACACACAGCCCATAATAAACCAAAACGCTAACCTAACACCTACGAAAACCTCTACCTCCTGTCTATAAACTCTCCAATGATCCCGATTCAACTTTCTCTTAAGTCTTATTTTGCGACCTGGTTCATTTGATATGCATCTTCACGGCCAAACAGCTGGTTTTTTTTTTAAACTGCTTTTAATTATATCCAGCTTTTATTGGGGTAAGGATTATAAGATTAGTGGCGTTTAAACGGTTATTAAAAATTATACAGAAATTATTTTGTTCATCATATTATAGATTTTAAAGAGAGTTCATCATACTGTATTTTGTCGGAGGAATTGTAGCTAAAATAACATTTGAGAAGGGTGTAGCAAGGTAATGGTTAGAGTTAAAATAAGGGTGACTTTCTATACATACACCGTATGATACACCAAACGGAATTAATAAGTCGAAGTACACAAGATTCTTAAAGCTACATTATTATAAAATAAATAAAGCTGTTTAGTCTTGCAATATATAAATTTATAATTATTAATTTAGCTTGCATGTTTCTCAAATTTTCGGAGGTAATTTTTCAATTTAAATGTATTATGTTTATAGTCAAACATATCAAGTTTTATATAATACATTTAAAATTGTATGTTATTGTTTTGCCACTTTAGCTTAATCTAAAATTACTTCCCTTCTACTGAATTTTGAATCATCAATTTTACTTTAAATGGCAAGATAAAAATCGTATTTTAATAGTAAGTAAGCAGAGTAACCTATGTTTAATTTTATAAGTAATCTTTTTTTTTTTTTTGAAAATGCGCAGAATTAGTCAAGCATTTATTTCCTATATACAATATTTAATTTTCATTCTAAAAATACTGGTAGTTAACTTTAATGGTTTATATATATATATACATTATGCGATTGTACTAAAAAACTAATAGTTAATTCTGACTTAAAAGTATATTTAAGAATAGAAGTAAGGGCCATTAAAGTAGTAGTCAACATGTCTATTTTTTTTCATGTTATAATGTAAACATTGCCAACATGTAAGCCTAGTTTTACTGCACAAAACATTACAAACTGTCAAAACACAAATATTTAAAAAACCTCAAAAAGATGTACATAAAACCACTGATAAGTTAGAGTGATTCAGAGACATAAACTTGACTGTTAATAAAGAGATGGTAAAACTACCATCATGTAGCTGACATAAAGAGATGGTAAAACTACCATCATGTAGGGAACATAAAGCGATGGTAAAACTACCATCATGTAGCTGACATAAAGCGATGGTAAAACTACCATCATGTAGGGAACATAAAGAGATGGTAAAACTACCATCATGTAGCTGACATAAAGAGATGGTAAAACTACCATCATGTAGTTGATATAACGAGTTTGTGTTAGTGCTGTATATAGTTATCAGCCAACAATACCTAAACCGCATCATTTTTTTCGTTTATTTGATTCTTCTGAAAATTAAAATAATCGAAATGTTATAAGATTTAATTAATGTTTGATTAATGTCATAGATTTGGTTTAGGTTACGCCTAGCACGACATCAGTAGTATATTAGGTCTATACTACAACCCACGATAATCCCATAAGACTATATTTATACATTTTAAGCTGGATACAGCTAAACCAACTGTGGACTAATGTTAGTACAATGACTGACTAGCTCTCTGGGGATACCGTTTAACTCTGGTAAAGAACAGTTTACGTGGAGATATATATTCTAACAACATACACCAAACTCACACACCTATAGACTTAGCTAGAAGCATCTTGGTCAAGACGATAGATGCCTTGTACTAGCTCTACTTGAAGTTAACATTTGACTATTGCGAGTTCGAATCCGCGCAAGAAACACGCTCGCTAAACCTTTTATATTTTGTTAGTCACCAACTCAAAATATTAACAATTAAAGTCACCCAACTATTCTCACATATGAAGTTAAACTATACCCCACTTAAAATGTATACACTTTCCTTCTTAAATAATCGTTTAAGAAAAAAAAACCTATCAATTACACACTAGGGAGGTCTGCCTGCATTTCGATGTAAAAGTAAGCACGAAAACGAAAGGAAATTTCAATAATATATGTCCGCGGGCCAATACGACGGCGCTGTGTTTATTCTCGGCCGAATGACATCTCGCCGACAATGGGGGTTGGAGATTTCTATCTCTCTGTTGCTGTATAAATTGACTGTATACCTTTCACGCACTTTTAGCAGGATCAAATGTGGGGGGAGTGGTTGGGGAGGGGGAGGGAGGAGGGGTGACGCGACATTGTACTGGTGATTAAATCATACCATGATTTTAAAGTTCGGAGTTTGGGTTTAGTT